ACTCCCACTTACGGCAGGAACACTTGATTTCACCGTTATCAAAATCAACCTTCAACACCCTACTATCCAACCTAGTAAGGTCATCCTCCAATATGAAGACATCAAACATTCCTACATGTCCTTCTGGTTCTATCTCTGTATTTGAAAAAATATTATATGCAAGAGATTCCTTGTACTGATCCAGGAAAAACTTGAATATCTTCGGCGTATACACATTAGCAACTTGCTTCACAATAGGGCTAGTAGAAAACCGAGAATCAGCCAACCGAGATAAGGCATAGTACTCTTCTTGTTCTTCAGCATCCCTCTTATTATCCAGCATCCTCTCAAAGTGCACAAAGAATCTACTAACGCTAAACTCTGACTGCAAGCAATGTCGAATATTACTATTGCAGCACTCACTTAGCTGGGTACTCTTCATTCCTGCACCAAAATATTTATTCACCCAGGCTGAAGACCACTTCTTCCTGAGTTTGTAAATGCCCTGTAACCAACTGTGTCCCAAAGGTCCCTTCCCAGGAAAACACTTCTCAATCATCTTCTTCCAATTATACTCAAAATCATCCTCATCATCAGCATTATACATCAGATAACTAAGCTCACGAAGGAAGTCAGAGTCACACAAACTTCCCAGATTAACAACTGCATTCTGAGCAATATGCCATGTACACAACCCATGAAAACAATCTGGGAAAACAGACCTTATACCAGCAGCAATTGCAGCAGCCTGGTCAGTAAACATTGATAACGGTCTCACACCTCCCATGCATTTCAAAAACTGATCGAAAAGCCATTCAAATGTTGCCGTTGTTTCATCATATAGAAGAGCAGCCGCAAAGACAGTCAGTTGGTGATGATTGTTGAAACCAACAAACAAAGCTACAAAAACATAAGAAAATGTGAGTAAAAACAATTCTACCAACACATACCATGTGGTAAAAGGTACGAATAACAATAATACCAACCCGTACCATATGGTAAAGACTTCTAAGAACAAAAAAAAAAACAATCCATACCAGACCATACCATATAGTACAGACTTCTAACAACGCAAAAACCACCTCAAATAACCTTGTTACCAACCCATACTATATGGTAAAAGACTTTTAAGAACAAAAACACAATCCATACCAGCCCATACCATATGGTAAAATATTTTTAAGAACATAAAAGCAATCCATACCAACCCATACCATATGGTACAGACTTTTAAGAACAAAATAACCATGATACAGAATGATAATAATAATAATAATAATAATAATAATACAAACTCACAAAGACAATAATAAACAACAAACTAGAAAACATACCTAATGGCCGATACTCTTTGTTAGTCCGGTAAGTAGTATCAAAACTAATTGAATCACCAAAATAATGATAATCCATCCTCATCTTCCCATCTGCCCAAAAAATACTAGCAATGTTCTCTTCAACATCAACCTCCACCTCATGAAAGAACCCAGGATCCAGCTGTGCTTGACGTCTAAAGTACGTCTAAAGTATTCAAGCAATGCAGTCGCATCACCATACTCCATTGATAACGTCCTCACCGTTCGCAGATGGTTCTTCAAATCATTCTTTGTGAACCCAACAAACTTCCGACCACCACCAGCCCTACTAATTGCATTATACGAAGAAGTCACACCAATACCAGCAGCATCATTCACCTCTGCCAACATCTTATACACAGGAGCCATTCGTCTGCTGGATCTCACATAGTGACGCAGAGACTCATGAATCATGTCATGGTTGTGCACATTATACCAACGATAGATCTTGTAGCATTTAAACTCTTTAAACCACCTGATTCGAATATAAGCACCATTGCATCCACCCCTGAGTTCTGGAACATTACGAACACGGACATTCGTATCAACAACACCTGCATTATCAGGGTTATTCTCGCTACCTCTTCTCCAACCTTCCTTATTGCAACAATACTTGATATAATATACAGCTGAAGAACCACCATTGAGCTTCGGACACGCTGATTGTTGGTAAATCCTCACACCAAAACCTTCATGATTCCCATAATCCACATAGAAATTGTATGCATCATCCGGTGTATTAAACTGTAAGTCCTTCCAAGAATCACGAACAGTAGGATCTATACCATTGAAACCTATAAACATTATGAAGCAACATATTAAATATGTACAAATATAGTACCACCATGGTATGATATGGTAAAATGAATTTCATGTCACAACAGAATCACATCTCATCATATTACCACACTATACCACATGGTATGGCATGCTAAAATCAAATTACCACACTATACCATATGGTATGACATGGTAAAATCAAACTACCACACTATACCACATGGTATGACATGGTAAAATCAAACTACCACACTATACCACATGGTATGACATGGTAAAATCACTTACAGCAGCAACAAAAATCCCAAAAACCCACACTATACCACAAACTATACATGATAACATCAAATTACCATATTTTACCACATGATATGACATGGTAAAATCAATTATCACACATAACCCCACCTTTAACTTGAAACTACCACACTATACCACATGGTAAAGCATGGTAAAATCAAATTACCATATTTTACCACATGGTATGACATGGTAAAATCATATTTTACCACAACAGAATCACATCTCATCATATTACCACACTATACCACATGGTATAGCATGGTAAAACCAAATTACAACACTATACCACATGGTAAGGCATGGTAAAATCAAATTACGACACTATACCGATGATTCCAACCATGGTACAAGTAATTACCACCATGGTATGATATGGTAAAACTTAAATACAGAGCACAATAACATCACAACACAACACTATATTATCACCTCTCATCGTATACCAGTAATTACCACCATGGTACCATATGGTATCTAACACATTCAAACTTCAATAAACAAACAAATTTGTATATCTTACCTCCTGATTCACCAGAGTTAGCTGAATGACCAAATCCAAAATCGATAGATGAAGAAGCAGTTCCAACAACGCTAGATGAAGAACCAGATCCTACAACGCTGGTTGAAGAACCAGATCTATCAAATGGAACAACATCGCCACAATTTACGTAACTCATCTCACCAGAATACTGCAAAAAAACCAAAACACAAAGAACATAACACATGAACAAGCTCGATTAGCTAAACAGAACACACAAAAGAAACTCAGAGAAGGTAAATTCCACAAAACCTACAACGAAACCAGAGAAACTCAAACACGCTCGATTAGCTAAACATGAACAAGCTCGAATAACAGCAATGAAAAACCTCCAACAAAACCAGAGATCGTCAAAACGCTCAACAAAACCAAAGATAAACAGAAAACTCGATTAGCTAAACAGGAAGAATCAAAAAAACTAATATCTAACCTCGCCGTCGATCAATTATGGAGAATCAGAAAGCTCGATTCGATTAGCTGCTACTCGCAGTCTCCATCGCCATCGATCAATTATGGAGAATCAGAAAAGATTCGCCGTCACCTGTTTCTCAGCTGCTGCTCGCAGCTTTCTCTCTCCAAAAACCGAATTCAACTCGTGCACACGTCGATCAATTAGGGAGAATCAAAAACCTCGATTCGATTAGCTGCTGCTCGTCGATCAACTATGGAGAATCGCCGTCCCCTGTTTCTCAGCTGCTGCTCGCAGTTTCCCTCTCCAAAATCCGAATCCAACTCGCGCACAGAAAAAGATCCGCAACGGACAAAAGGGGGAAGTCATTAATTCAAATTTCGGACAAAATTGCCCCTGACCATCACCGCATCAACCACAGCCACACGATCAGCCCGGCCCAGATCTACGGTCCTAAGGTGGTTACTCACGCGTGAGTAACATAGGGTTACTCACGCGTGAGTAACATAGGGTTACTCACCCTATCCCAAGCCATCTCTGCTCCTCCTAGAGCTCCTATCAAATATAGAAAGAGAGATGAGTAGTAATCATCCTTCAAATTGTCGATCCTCTTCCGTTTCTGCTTCTCTTCTCCTTTCTTGCTTTGGTGGTTCTTGGATGCTCCTACTATCATTGAGATGAGTAGTAATCATCCTTCAAAGTGTCGATCCTCTTTCGTTTCTGCTTCTCTTCCTTTGTATTATTTTGCATTGCTGGAAAGATTTCCTTGAGACTTTTATAGTCTAGCCTCAATCATGATTGCAAATTGACATTCAATGTTCATAAAGCTTCCTTGCATACCATGAATAATTGCTTCTAACTTCCCAAACCAATTAGGTTGGTGGGTTAAAGAAACTCTTTCTTGCTCCTTGTACTGTGGTTGGCTCCCACATTCGGGTGGACTGGGCTTCTTATTCCATTGTTCATCGTGAATTGAATTAGCATTTGTTGAGGTGATTTTTGGATAATCGTCTAGCTCTCCGTATTTTATTGTGTGCTATTTTAGCACTCATGATCCTTTTTTAGGTTTTTGGCTTTTTAAAAGGCTATGAGAGAGCTTTTGGGGCTATATTTTAGCATTCTATTTCTAGCCCTGTATTGGAGACGGCTAGCCATTTTGTCACCCAAAAAAAGACCGGGGGAGGGGACAGGCCACAAAAAGTAGAATGAAAAATATGTGTTTGACGCACTCACTCAATGAGCATTGAGTGCACAAGATTAACATTATACCCGCTGCCTCTATATAGTCTGAATGAAACAATTGACTGTCCTGTAAGGAAAACAACGTAGGGCTCAAGTCTCTAACCAATGCTAGATGTCAACGAAGTGAATTAGATAGAATAAAACAATCTGCAGACTGCAGGAGTGAACTCGGAAGTAGAAAATAAGTTAGGGAACAGATGAGAACCATTACTGTATGAGTTCCACAACTTACATAACAATGTGAAGCTTTATATTAACATGATTCTCCCCCAGCTTCAACGCAGCTGAATTCACCAATCCATCCCCACCACCAACCTTGTTATTTCATAACTGGAAGGGGTACAATTACAAAGGTCAGACCTTTGTCGATGATCGATTTTATCATTTAGCTTCGACATCATCGAATCACCCCATGCAAATTGGCACCATCAAGCCTCGCACCTTCCAGATGCTGCGTTAAAACACACACAGCCAAGAGTTGGTTCTTTTCTGAAACAACATCAACCGACTACAGAATCATGGTCCACTAGCTACCCTTACCGTGTTCTGAAAGTTGACTTGTCGCAAATAAGCACGTTGCAGGTTTGCACCCTTTAAATTAGCGTTGATCAGTTTTGCACCCTGGCACAGAGAATCTTGGAAAATCAAGAACCAAATTTTAACAGTATTATTGAATCAGAAGGAGAATGCAAAAGCAGAAAAAGACTTACCTTCAGATTGGCTCCTTCTAGGTTTGCCCCCTCCAAGTTTGCATTGGTAAAGTCAGCAGTCTAATATCAATATCCAAATAGGTCATGCATAAAACTCTAACCCACATTGACAGTCGATAAAACAATCAAGGAGAAAGAAACCAGAAAGGGACTTTGGTAATATCTAAGAATATTAGCAGAATCTGATCTATTACAAATTCAGATGGCAGAAGCGACGGCTTTTAAAAGTTATCCAGGCAGCCGATAGGAAACTGAACAGATATGCCAAATTACGAAATACCAATCAAAGGATGACATTCAAAAAAACCTTGATAAAAGATAAGTGGCCCTTGTCTACATTAAAGGGGAAAGGAGAATAAACCTGTAAGTGAGCTGTGCGTAGATCTGCCCCGCAGAAACTGCAATCTATTAAACAAGCATCTGCAAGTAGCTCAAAATGGAATTCGAGCTGAGAATAGTCAGTTCAAATAAAGCAAACCCAGTGACAAAGTTATCGGCCTACACAAAAGATGTGAGGCGTGCACAGCCTAAAAGATTGCACCAGGGTTCCCCATTGTTGGACCGATTTTCAAGACAAAACCTTACTCCAAGACCATATGAGAATCTAAAAATGAACACACTAAAAAACCATATCCTGAACTGCTGAAAGGCCGGTAAGATGGAAAAAGCTACCTTGTAGATTTGCACTCTGAAGATTAGCCCCGGCTAATACAGCGCCACGTAGATTTGCACCAGTAAATTCACATCTTCCTAGGCATTATACAAATATCACGATGTCTATTTGGGACAAGAGTCTAAATAAAAGGAATCCAATCAAGAGCAACTGACTTACTCCCGCAAAGTAGCATTATGAAATATGGAACCCTCAGCATCCACATCCTATCATGCAAAATATGTAAGGTTTAGTTGATTCATTAGGCATGCACAATGTTAATGTACTTAAAGTAAGGAATCAGCTGAATATAGACCTTGAATTTAGCACACTGAAGATTAGCACGTGAGAAGAAGACATTCTTGAGACAAGCAAAGCTGAAGTCAACGAACGATAGATCCTGCAAGCCATAAACCTTAACAATCATTATATTATCCTAACTGGCAAAGTCTCATTTGCCAATAAGAGAAAAACTAAAGTAACTGAGCAGAAGTCTGCAGTATTTGTTCCATTGACAACAATTCCAAAAGAAAACTCTCAACATATGAAGCATTCTCTTTTCAATTCGTTGAAGTTTCTGGCTTTTTATGAAGGTAGCAGCAATACTGCAATAGAAGATCAACGAAATCTTAAAGTTTCATAGGCATCTGAAGTCATTGTCAATAATTCATGAACAAAATTGTTCTGAATGCAAGAAGACAGCATTACAAAGGAAAAAGTAAATAAATTTATGATTTTCATGAGATATACACAAAACTGATTATGAGTTACAAAAAAGGACCAATCACATCCAACTAGAAGAAATAATAAGAAGGTACAGATTGTAGAAATGATATCTGTGAGTACTACGGAAATTTTACCAATTTGGAGAGGTCTAGGCCAGAAAGATTAAGCCCTCTAAACCGGACCCTCTCAGACTGTATACACTTGATGATATCTGTTCTCGTCAATTCAGTATCCATATCATCAGCTTCCTTCTTCTTATTCAGAGCAGAATTGATTCCCTCTATAAGCCCCTGAATTAGAAAGATGGCACATCAAATAGTTTCTGGAATGAGGTAATCAAAACAATGATGGTAACAAGATAATAGAATAATGAAGAAGCAAGAACATACAGGAGTAGAAAAGGAAGCAAGAAGAATATGGACATACAAGTAGCTGATAGTATTCAGCCTCTCGCATAAGCTCCGAATATTCCGCATCTGATAGAGTGGGGACTACTCCATCCCTCAACCAATTCAGAACATGCCTAAAATGCTTCCCATCCCTATCAACAAAGATCTGTCCCTGTGGAATGCAACACCATCGACTAGTCAATTCAAAGGAACTTATAAAAATATGACGATTCTTTTACTTCTGTGTTTGCAGATTCTTTCCATCAAAGCAAGTTCCACAGACACATTGACAAAAAGGATTGCATGTAAGACCCTTCGTTCACTTCTTTATCATACAGAACTTAACATAAAGCGATCATCACTTCTAACTACCATCATGAGGCTGGTGAAAGTAGAAAGCCATACCGAATCAGAATCCTGACACAGAGTATGTCGACCACTGAACATTGCTGCAAGCATGGACTGCGGCTCTCGATTCGTCAGAGTGTCAACGGTAGTGGAAAATTTCTTCCCTCCTACAGGTAAAAGTTAAAACACACAAAAAAAAAAACGAATTAGGCCATTCAGAGAGTACATACAACAGATAGTAAACAGACTATCAACTCACAACTATCCCCCACAGATTAAGCAGCCGAGCGAGTAACCAACACAGTCAACTAGCATTTCAAAAATACAGCACAATAAATTGATCAAACAACCAGAATAATTATGTAAAAAGGACAAAATTCTGGCTATCCAAACAGATAATGGTTCTGGATCGGCATTGGACACGATAACAAGGCAAATTAAAAATTACATAGTGAATTAGGGTTTAAGTTCTTCGAAATCAGACTGTCATGCTGAGGCGGAGAAGGGAATAAATTGAGAGAGAGCTAACCGATGTTGAGACGGACGATCGAAGAACTGGGATCTTTCGTCATTGTTGGTACGGAACTCTGACAGTGAAGCCGTCGGCAGGCGGTCTTCCGGTGAGGTTTTCAGATAGAAGCCCGATTCCAAGCGTAGAGCGAAGTGAAGCTAAGTTGCTGGGAAGTGCGAATTGCGATCGTCAGCTGCGAGACGCGCCAAAGAAGAACCGATGCCTCACAACAAGTGAAGTCACAATAAACTAGAAATTGGATTTCACAAAAAAACAAAATAAAAAACTGGAAATTGGGCCAATTTATATAAATGGTCCCTTAACTTTGGGCTTACAAATTGATCAATCATGGAAATTTCATTTTTTTTTATTAATGATCAGTCATGGAAATTTCATGTTAGCATAATTTTTACTAGAGATTGGAACAACATTTAGGGCTAACATCGTCGAAAATACCAATCTTTAGCGAGTGTGCCACTTATATTACGTAACTTCAACAATCACATTAATATTTCAAATTATTGGGGTCTCGGTCATTTCTGTTCCACGAATTTATGTTAACCGTTAGAACTAATGGTTGACCTGGTCAACCTTAGTCTGACCATTGATTAAGTGGCGCTTATATGTCGTCCATGTATGCAACACGTTGATGCCATGTAGGAAAATAGTATTAAAATTTAAATTAATTAATTTATAATTAAATAATTAATATTTTATAGAAAATAATTTTGGTTTATTTTGGAGTGTCTGTCGTCGACCCACGAACTGGAGTTTCCGTCATGAACTGTGCAACTCGACTGTCTGCTGGTCCCACCTCTCGAGCTTCCAAATCATTGAGACAGAGAACTCTGTCGTCGTTGTTGATATCCTCAGGATCTTCTTCACTAGCAGGGGAACCGTCAGAGAGTTCCCCCAACGCAGCGGCTCTGCCTTTCGAATCATCACAGAGCTTGTCCAGAATTCCTAACCCCTTCTCGCTCGCGCTCTACTCTTTCGAGAAGGAAATTATCATCTCCAAGTGGAACAAGACAGAGTCGGCTTCGATTAGGGATGATCAGAAGCGGCCGCCGAATTTCGAGGTTGGGATCTAGAGGAGCTGGAAGATTAGGGTTAGGGAGAGCTTGGTTACGACGGGGGAGATTGGTGATCTCAGGAATCCAAAGAGAATACAATGTTAATCTTCTATTTCCAATATCAATTCTGCATATCTTTCTCGATTTGAGGAAGATGAAAACACTAGCAATCCATTGAGTGTGATGAGTGAATTATGCTTCGCGGCGATTCTATTAGTGTTTTGGTATATGATCCACGATTGAACCTCTCCCAACAACTCGAATTATTGGGATCAACTAGTTCATGACATGGTATCAAAGCCTTATGTGACCGAGAGGTCTTGTGTTCGATTCCCGGTGACCCCCATTTGTTAAGCACATGGTATTCTTGTCTTCACACCTGTGCAAACTTCAAGCCCTTGTGAGTGGCTTTCGTTTGAGGGGGCGTGTTAGTGTGGACGAAGCGAGGCGGTCGCAAGCTGCTGCTACTTCTCCTCCTCCACCGCAGCTACTTCTCCTCCTCCACCGCAGCTAGTCATCGTATACATCCAGCTCATCAAGCATAGCAGCTCCTCCAGAACTACTGTGCGCCTCTCCACGGAATCCCTCACGAATATGTCGAGCGAAGCGGTGAGCACAATGGTAGTGCCATTGGAGGTGATGCAAAATCCGATTATGTTTGCTCTCGTTCCCCCAGCTGTCGATCTTCCTTAAGCATTCCTGGTAGTCATACTCGTCAATTTGCTTGCTCGAGATATCCAGCCGGGAGAGGACAGTGGCGACCTCGTTGGCGGAGATAGGGACTCGCGACGTGGGGATTTTCTCAACTTTGAATTCAGGTTATGTTAATCTTCTGTAACAAGTGTACGATTTAGGAGGACCAATCGAAGAGTACAAGAGGATAGTAGAGCTTGATGGGTTGGTGTTCGGATTGAGGAGGACCGACCAAAACCAAATCTCTGGCCATTCCCCTTTTTCCAAGGAGTTGATGGAGCGGTGGATGGGAAAGACGATAGGGGTTTTGGGTGTGGCAGTTTTGTTTTCTTTATTTTATTTTTTATTAAAAAGTTCCAGGTCAGCGAACTATATTTTTTTGTTAACCTCTAACGAAAAACTTGACGGTTGGTATACAAATGACATATCAAAAGTTTCGTAATATAAGTGACACTCTCCCTAAAGATTAGTATTTTTAGTGATATTGGGCTTAACGTTTATATTAAGTTAATCTTTCTTTCTTTATTTTCTTTACGTCGAAGTTGTGGTTGATATAGACTTTCTTGAGTTGGATCCTATAGTGAATAAAAGTGATCTCTAGAGACAAATTTCTCTTGTGACAAAAACCTTCAAAAAGGTCTTTCGACTGATGGTAGAGAAGACACCCTCGATGCTCAAGTTATTGGTTTAGATGACAGAAATATGACCTTGAATACAAAGATGAGAAAATGGAGTTTTAAACCAACGCCTTCGTTAATCATAACTGGAGTTAGGGGTCTGAGCTTTTTCCCACTTACCTTTACTTGGAGATTTGATGACGTTTAGATATGGTTTTTCCAAAACGCGTCCTCTTTTTATCCCACCAACACATGAACATCCAAAAGACGATGTTCTGCATCTAACCCTAATAATATGGAAAGCTTATGAATGTTTGATTCGGGTTAGATTATACACTTTTAAACCCTCGTTACTTGTGTCATTTTGCTTGGATTCCTCGATCCTATGAGCTATTTTACGCTAGGTGAGTTCGTTTAGTGTCATATATCATACCTAAGCAGGTGATCTTGGCACCGAGATCGAAAATCACGATTTTGGAGGAATTATGGGCAAAGACGCAAGATCACGATTTTGCAGGAATTATCACGTGCACACACTGTGAAGATGACATCCACACCGTGAAGTTCGCAAGGTGCTAAGGAGATCTCTATAGCTCACAGGCAGTGTCAGGATCACGGCCATAGGCCATGATTTTAACAAGTGTCCCGCTAAGATCGTAAGTGATGCGGTGCGTTTTGCGCTGAGATGACGGTTACCCTATCGACTTCACGGGCGTAATCTGGGATCGTGATTTTCGCACTCGAGGACTATAAAAGGGAGAGTTAGTTGAATTCGAAACCATTGAGCTTCTCTTTGTTCCTACATATTCCCAACTGGCAGACCTATTCACCAAACCTCTCTCTTCTTAGCGGTTCTCCTCGCTTGTTTCCGAGATCGGCATGTTGCCTTTACAGAGATTCGCTTCATCTTCCTAAACATCATTACGACAATGGAAATGCCTGGTATCTTAGGTTCTCTCCTATAAATCTTCCTCTACCTTCTCCCCTGCCATTCACCCATTTGCGTTTCCCCAATTTGCAAAATGTCACTCAATTTCCTCAAACAACCGCAAATCCATTATCCTCACCTACTCCAATTCTCTTCTGCCTAGTCCAGACTCCAGAGGATTATCACCATTTTCAAATGTACTTTGAGCATTGTTCCCTTCCCGTTGTTTCTCATTTGAACCTGAACTGTTTGCACTGTTTGGCATTCATTTCTCCTATCTTCTGGAAGGGCTTGGTTGGGATTTTCTGGTTCATTGTCGACAATCCCCTGCTGCCCTAGCATTGTTCAAATGTTTTATGCCAATTTGGACCATGATTTCGACGTTAATTTCTTTACCACCATTGTTTATGGCCACAAGCTCACCATCACCGTTGACGTCATGGGTTCCACCCTTGTGTTTTCCACTGAAGGGTTTCATCTTGCATCCCCTCGAGAACTCTGAGACTACATATTTAATGCTGCTACCATGATACTGTCATGAACCAGTTGCTCCCAATAACTCGAGTTGTTGGGAAAAAGTTATATTAGATCTTATACCACTCTCTAACACGCCCCCTCAAATGAAAGCCAACTCATGGGCTTGAAGTTTGCACAGGCTCACCATCCATTGTGCTTTAATCAACTGTTAATATTGGGGGTCGTGGAGATTCGAACACACGACCACTTGGCCAAACCAGCTCTGATACCATGTCATCAACCAGTTGCTCCCAATAACTCGAGTTGTTGGGAGAAGGTTATATTAGATCTTATACCACTCTCTAACAGATACGAGCACAGAACATGTACCCGTAGTTATCAAAGTACGCAGCTCCAAGAATGAACAATAGAAAGACTATTTAGGGTGCTTTGTTTGTTTGGGATAGGATAGAATTGAAAGTGCAATCTCAACACAAACCGGGAGAAGGCTCAATCAATATAGAAAGGTAGAATCTCGACCACAATCAAGGGGAAAACTTGATTGATATAGAGAAAAGTTCAAGCCTCAAACTCGAAACCGAGTTTCAGCCTTTATATAGGTTTGGACAATTAAAAATAACAAAAACAGTTTAAACACACAAATTCCCGTCACCTAGACAAAATACCCGGTCAGCCCTAAAAATACCCGGTCGGGTATTTATCCCCACGTCCGGGGGGCTTCTGGCCAAAAGAGACAGGTCGCTGCCAAAATACCCAGTCGGGTATTTGGCTTCCTTGGCCGGGTATTTATCCCCATGTCCGGGGGGCTTCTGCCCAAAAGAGACAGGTCGCTGCCAAAATACCCGGTCGGGTATTTGGCTTCCTTGGCCGGGTATTCCCCCTGCGCCATCCCTTCTTCCGCTGTTGGGGCCGCATCAGTCCTCCCCGTTGGAGAAGCTTTGTCCTCAAATCTGGTGTTTTCCTGCAAGAGATCACATCAACAATATTTCCAAATGAACTTCTCCTCAATGTAGTCAACATGTTCCTTCGCAGCATCAGATGCGCTCCAGTTTCGTCCTCCGACTTCGAACAACTTGAACTTCCCGGACTTCAGCTGGTGACAATGGATTTAGCAGGAACTTCCGGTCACCTCTCTTGAACTGGTAGCTGTTGTGCCTTCCATCATGAATAGGTCCTCGATCATATTGCCACGGATGACCCAATAAGAGATGAGCAGCCTGCATTGGAGCAACATCACACCAACTCTCATCTACATAATCATCGATCTGAAAACAAACCTTGGCCTTCTTGTTGACTTTGATGTTCCCATAGTCGTTCAGCCAATGCAGAGTGTATGGTTGAGGATGCTTGATGGTGCTCAACCCCAGCTTCTTGACTTCATCAAGACTAATCACATTGGTTCAGCTACCACCATCGATAACTACAGACAACACCTTCCCGTCGACCAGGCAACGAGAGTGAAAGATATTATCCCTCTGCTCTGTCTCTATTTAAGCTTCAATAGATAAAGCTCGGCGGTTCACCCCAAGAAGTTTACCTGTTGGAGGTTTCTCAACCTTGATGTGCTCATCCACATCATCATATTCAGAATCAACATCAGAACTGAATCCATTCCCCATGGACTTCTCCTTATACTCCTCCTCAGAAAAGTACTCTCCATCTTGCAAGATAAGAGCCTTTTGTTGGGGCATTGGTTGGCTTTGTGACCTCGTCCCAAGCACTTAAAGCATTGGATGCTTCCAGACGAGCCTTCATTCCTGGCTTGAATGACTGGTGTTGTATTCCTGCCAGTTGGCTTGTCACCTTCTTGCTTAGGATGATTCGTGACAGCCTCAGGACTATTTTCTGTAACAGGTTTGGGTGAAGGTGGGTACCTTCTTTCCGAGCTCACCTTCAGCTACCTCTCCACCTTCATTGCCAAATGCACCGCTTCCTCCAACTCCACAAACTGACGAAGCTCTACTTCATTGTTGATTTCTCTGTTGAGCCCATGTAGAAAGCGAGCAATCGTTGCTTTCTTGTCTTCCCTCACCTCTGCTCTCATCATGAGCAATTCTAGCTCCTTGAAGTACTCATCAACAGAGTGAGTTCCTTGTCGAATTCCCTATAAGTCATCATGGAGATCACTCTGATAGAAAGGCGGAACAAACCAATCACGCATCAGGCCTCAGGTTTCTGCCCAAGTAGAAACTTCAGGCTGCAGATTCCTTCTTCGTCGTTGCTGAATCTTTTCCCACCAAACTGCTGCATAATCTGTAAACTCATAGGTGGGTGCAACAACTTTTTGATGCTCTGGGTAAGGATTGCACAGGAAAAACATAATCATCTTCCTCTCCCAGTCGAGGTAAGCTGATGCACTATTAGTGCCTTGAAACGAGGGGATTGAGAGCTTAATCCCTCGAATCGGTTCAACGCCATAACCTCCTGCTTCTGTTGGTCTTCCTCCATACTCATAATAATCATTCTCATAGTCATTAAATAGAGGTATGTTCTACGGGATTACCTGACGACGTTGCTCCATGTATTGGCGCCTCTGCATCTGCCAATCTGGGGTCTCAGGAAAAGCTTGGTACACTCGCTCTGCTCTTCGACCCTCTCGGTTCGCGGCTCTAGTTTGAGCTGCGACAACTTCTGGATTCTCTGGTTGTAGTGGATTACCAATTGGTTGCGTCTCTAACCTGGTGATTAGGGTATCCAGTCTCTTATTCGTCTCAACCAGCTGACCTTTTGTAGCGTCCTGCTGGGCCTGAAGCAAGGCTCCCATCTGCGTGACAAGCAGCTTCATAGCTTCTGCAAGGTACTGACTCTGCTCTCCCATGACTGGTTCTTCGATTATGGTTTCTTCTTTAGAGAACGATTCCTGCTCTTCTCTACGTTCTGCAATCGGATATTTGGACCTCGTTCGACAAGCAACGGGTCCTCTCGCTTTTGATCCTGCCACTGTGTTGAACTGGGGCTCTAATACCACCTGATACGAGCATGGAACCTGTACCCGTAGACCGTAGTTATCAAAGTACGCAGCCCCAAGAACGAACAATAGAAAGATTGTTTAGGGGTTTTTGTTTGTTTGGGATAAGATGGAATTGAAAGTGCAATCTCAACACAAACCGGGAGAAGGCTCAATCAATATAGAAACCAAGTTAAAAAATCAATATTCTGCTAAAAACTAACCTGAAACCCGAGTTTCAACCTTTATATTGGTCTGGACAATTAAACATAACAAAAAACAGCTTAAACACACAAATTCCCGTCACCGAGGCAAAATACCGGGTCAACCCTAAAAATACCCGGTCGAGGAGCCTTCTGCCCAAAAGAGACAGGTCGCTACAAAAATACTCGGTCGGAACCCCATAATACCCGGTCGGGTATTTGGCTTCCTTGGTCGGGTATTCCCCCTGCGCCATCCCTTCTTCCGCTGCTGTTGGGGCCGCATCATACCACCTATTCCAAACTCTCAGGTGCAGATGTCCATTACTACTCCCATGTCAAGGTCTCTTGTCTCCCCCCACATCTTCGTGTTTTCCACTACTTTCTCACTAGAGTCCTCCTTCCCATATCTAATCAACTTGGAGTTGTCACTGAACTCGATCTCTGGGAAAATTCCAAAGCCATTTCCAAAAAGCGCCTCAACTACTCCCACATTATTTTTTATCTCATGATCTCTACCTCAAATGAACACTTCCAAGGAGATCTTCCGTTTGGAGACTTCATCGCTCAGCTGTTTGCCAATCTGGGTGTTAATCTCTCTACTTTTTGCCTCCTCCATCTCTGTACTGAGATTTTGCCTCATTCTGTCTTTGGCTCTTGGGATCCCTTTCAAACTTCCACAAGGGGGAGATGGCATGGTTGTTGACCGTCGTCCGAGAAAAATCTCTCCAAATGGACCTCTCGACAGGGCTCTTGACTCCCTGGTCTTCAATGTCAGAAACCCCAACTCCCCTTAGACAGAAGACTCCGTTGAAGCAGCTCCGAATGAAGACGTGACCCCAAATGCCCGAAGACGTGCCTGCTATCATGTTTCTGGTGTTTAAAGTTTTCTATTTGAATATCTGACAATTGAAAGAAAACTATTCATTTCGTCATATGTGAAACTAATTTCTCCTTGAAGGAGATAAAATGTTTGTGACTTGGATGGTTGCTCCCAGGGGGAGTATTTTTGTTAAGATTGTGTTTTTTCAAAGATTGCGTTAGTTAAAACTGATACGCCTTAGTATGGTTTGTTGGTTGTTTTGTGCTTGTTGGCTTTGCATTGGTATCTTCTTTGATGTGGCAGGTCCTGGTCAACAAGGTGTGGAAGCTCGAACGCAGGGGCAGATTGTTGATCGAAGCAAAACATCGACGTCCTTCGCTTCTCTCCTTAATCAACACGACGACATTCTTCACTTCCTCACTAAAGTTTCATGTGCTGCAACTAACGACGTTTTTTATGAAGCAGAAAAGACCGCCACTTTCAGTTCAAGTTCAACGGCTACTGAAGGATTCAATAAGACATGGGAACTCGAACTATGCATTCAACTCGCTGGAGAAGAAGATGCTTGGAGAATGTTGTGGCTATTTAAACCCTCGATTGTACTCTCTGTTACTTACTTTTGTGATTACAAGAAGCGGGTGCTTAGGTAGTACAATTGTTGATTCTCTGTTAAACTAAGAGTTGGTCGTAGCTAGGGTTTATAAGAGTTTATCAAATTGTCATAGCTAGAAATAGCTTGTGACTATTTTCGCTCTCTGTTCTGGAAGTTTGTAACTCTGTTATTCTGCCTTTGAATAATCAGTTCCTCTTTGCTTTTAAAAGGGTTTCATCTTTTCTTGTCATGAGTTATTTCATTCTGAAAACGAATTTCATCTTCCTCTCTACCTTTCTTCATACCCCTTGCCTAAATGCACAAAGGCCACCACCACCATCCCACTGTCGCCGCCTCCTCTCTCCCCTCGGCGATCTCCACGCTATGACATCCGACCTGCGGCGTCCACCTCCCAAGTTGATGTTGTCATCCTCCTGTCGCCTCCCTACTTTCTCCTGCCTCTGTGCTCCGATGACGCTTCCATTGCCCGCCGCTACCGCCGCTTGCCACAACCACCCTCTCCCTGCTACCGTCGCGAGGTCATCGCCTCTCCCTTTCCTCATCCCCTGGTTTTTTAGATTTATGATTTTTTTATTCCAGCTTTGGTTTGTTATGTGTATAGTCGAGTGGTAGTGGTAGTGATTTTCATCGTATCAACTGCCAGATGGTAGTGGTAAGTGGTAGCGTTGTACTGGTAGCGTGCCACTCGAAAATCACTACCACTATACTAATGTACATTTTTTAACGCACTGTTACATTTTTGCTGGTTTTCGAAGGGAGTCTGCCGAAGAGATTTTGCTGGAGGAAGTCTGTCGGAAGGATTTGACTGGAGAATAAGTTTGCCTGTCAAAGCGGAGTGGTGGCTAGAAAAGGAAGAGAGAAATATAAATGTATTTAATGTAGGTTTTTATATAAAAAAATATATGTACTTAATTTGGGTTTTAATTCTTAATATGTAACTAATAAAAAAATAATTAATATTTTTTTGTCATACCTAAATTGTTCTTGATTATGAATCTCACAACCCCAAGGAGATGTGACCGTATCCCACCCTAAAAAAATAGATGTGACGGCTTAGTGATGATGTGATACCCAAACCAAGTTGCGAACTTGAGGGAGGTGGTACCATGTGTCTGCATGAACATCCCCACGTGGCAGCGTTTGTCGATAGATACGTCATCCCTCCACACCGTTCTCCATGCAATCCTTAACTCCCCTCCTTCCTCTTCTTCTTCCATTCTCTCTCTATACCGATCAAGATAGCCAAAAGAAAGGAAAACAAAACCTGAATTTCATATAACAATATTCGAAAGAGATTCAACGAAGGAGGAGGAAGAAGAAGAAAAAGTGTGTCCAAATGAAACACCTCTCCTCCACCGCCAACGTCGTTGTGCACCGTTGCGCCAAGTAATCAATCCCATATTCCCCTTGCTAACCCAATCTCGTTTCCTTACTCTCGTTGTGTAAGATTAATCGACAGCTCTTTGATCAAGTTAGAAAACAATTATATATAGTCGCTGAATAATTTGATATCTAATCTAATTTCGCGTCAGCTTCCTACTTTCTTCCATTATGAGATTATACGCGAACGGAGCATAATAACCTTTTCTATAGCCACCAATGGATTTTCCTCAGAATGCAATGATCAATGGTTTCCTTCCCCCCCTGTATTTTTAACAGGACGGTGGGGACTAGTGTGGAGATATTGGTGGCGGAATTTGAAGCGGAAGCATGGAAGGAAGAAACAGGGGAGTATTCGAAGAAGTTGGTGGAATTCTGCTGCTCAAAGGCATTGCGCCAAGATTGCCAATACATCGAGGAGAAGATCGTCGATGGATCGTTCTCGCGCTTCACCTTCGACATGATGCTCGCATGGGAGACTCCCACTTCCCAGCAGGAGCAATCCATTGAGGTAACAAACTTAGAAATGGGAGACTCCTCCTCAGGTTCCAAACCCATTTGATCAATTTGCTACGTTTTTTTCTTTTCTTCTTATGTTATTGGAGTTTTCTTAATAGGAGAATGCTGGGAAGAGTTTGGAAGATAGGAAGAAGATACCCGCTAAAGTTACTGGAGAGACGGATGAAATCCCACTTTTCTACAGTGACATTATGCCACTCCTAGTAAGTAATTTGTTCATGTGACTCCAAAGGGTGATTGAAATGGGTCTTGAGTTTCATTTCTGTGGTGATTTTGGGAAAAGGTTGACGATGAGCCGAGCGTGGGTGAAGATGCGGTTGTCTGGATGGGAACATTGGTGCCATTGGTTGTGGATTTTGTGAACGGGAGGTTTACATTCGAGAGCCTCACTGCGGCCACCGCCCATCGCCTTTTCTTCCCTGCCTACGACAAGTTCTTGAAAGAAATTGACCAGTTAAGCTTTTGTCATCTAAACCTGCCTCTAGTAGATAGGTGTACAATCTGTTGTTTTTACCTATTTAGGATGTTGATCATGGCTACTGGTTCTTTCGCTTCAGATCCATAAAGAATCTACAGAAGCAAGTTAAGCCGAAAGGCGTGGAACTCGCTGATGACGAGTTCATATTGCACGTAGATGGCACAGCTAGTTCCCAGCGTGTGGTCCGACACATTGGTGGCACAAGTTGGCCTGGTAAAAAAATACCTCTTACTACTCTTTCCCTCTGTTTCGTTCTGAATCCTCGATATCTCCTTTTCGGTGTTACAGTAACGCTGGCTCAACCTCTTAGGTATAGCTGCCATACTTATCAAATATGCTCTCTTCTATCCAAACGATGTCAAATATGTTGTCTACCATCTCGTGTGAATCCTTTGTAGAACTTTTTTCTTGAAGTGGTGACAACTGACAAATAATTTCCTCACATGCATCCTTAACTCAGACCAGTTAATTTTGTTCTCTCTGTGTCTTTCTGAGTCCTTCATAGCATCTTCCTCGTGTAATGTCGACAATGTTACCTTCTGAGGTAGCCACGTAGTGTGTTGTCCTCGCTACCATCTCGATTTCAATCCTCTGCGATAGCGTCTTTTTGTCTTGGTTCTAATTCTGACAATGTTTTCCTCTTAGGTAGGCTCACACTCACCAACTACGCTCTCTACTTCGAGGCATCTGGGGTGGTCACATACGAGGATGCCATCAAAATTGACCTCTCGAGCGATGCCAAACACTGCATCAAAGCCACCGCCACGGGCCCATGGGGTGCTCCAGTTTTCGACAGGGCCATCATCTACGAGTCCCCTGAATTGTAAGACCACAAATTCTCCTCCGCCAAATTCTTAACGTTCATAGAAACTTCGTTGAATGGAATTTCGGTCTGCAGATCGGAAGGCATTGTGCTGGAGTTCCCGGAGATGACGAGCTCGACAAGGCGCGATCACTGGCTGGCCCTAGTCAAGGAGATCATACTAATGCACCAGTTCCTGTCGAGGTACAATGTGAAGTGCGAGATACAAGCGTGGGAAATCCACTCAAGAACCGTTCTCGGGATAGTGAGGCTGCACGCAGCTAGAGAGCTGCTCCGAATCTCTCCGCCAGACCCAACAAAGTTCCTCATCTTTGCACTGTATGAAGAACTACCAAAGGGCGACTACGTGCTGGACCAGCTGGCTGCAAGTATAGAGACAGTCAACAGTGGGCACCCCTGCAGCGCTAGCTCGATTCTGAGGAACATAAATGTGTCTCAATTGCTCGCGTCGAGTGGAGAGGTGAAGCTGGAGAAGAAGGAAAGCGGGCATGTTGGTGGAGAAGAAGATGAGATAATACGTTCATCTCTGGATAGCGCGGTCCATCAGGTGAGGGAGGAAGCTAAGGCGGTTGATATCGCGAAGGCCACAACAGAAGGGTTGAAAGAAGAAGGCATCGGTGAAAGCGCTCAAGTTCTCATGGTGGGTAAATCTCGTTAGTCTAAACTACAACTAAGTCTTATAAAGCACGTCCCCTTAAGCAAGTGATGGTATGATTTCATTCTAAAATGTTGCAGGAGTTGACAAAGCCGGTGAGAGACCTTCTACCATGGTTTGTAGAGATCGTTTCATGGGAACGGCCATCAACAACTCTACTTGTATTCTTCACAACTATAGCTATCATCTACAAGTAAGTCTCTTTCCCTTTTTACCCATTATTCTAAACTTGCTGGTTTGTTGAGTCCATTGAAATGACTGGAAGAACATGGAATGGGATGGATGAACAACAGGGAGTGGGTCGGCAAAGCTGTGGCTGCTTTCTTGCTACGAATAACATGGAGGATACTCCAGGCAAGACGAGGGAGAGCCGACAGCGATGATGAGATAGTGGTACACACTGGCGGGGAACAGAAGAGCACGACAGAGAGTATCGTGGCAGCTCAGTTTGGGTTAAGAACTGTGCACGAGATTATGCAAGCAGCAAACATAGCCATACTGAAAATCTGGTCCTTGATGAGTGCGAAAGCCCCAACGGTACCGCGAAACTAGTCTATGCAAATCTGGTATCATTCGTTTTTCGAGGTTGTTCACCGTCTTTTCTACGATGCAGCACTCGGACAAGGCAATGATGGTGATGGGTTCATTGGCGATCATCTTGGCAGTGATTCCGCTGAAGTACATCCTGATGGGTGGAGTTGTGTACTATGGGATCGTGACGTCGAAGCTAGGGAAGTACATGGAGAATGATCAAGGGAACAGGAGGCTTAAAGAATGGTGGGATTCAATCCCAGTCGTCGGTGTCCGTGTAGTCGACGAACCTCCGCCGGCTTCTCCACCCCCGGAGAAGAAGGAGAACTAGGCAGTTAATGGGTTTTCGTTGTTTTATTACCGTATGTATTTACAAGCTATCCAGGTTGTTTGTATTTATGTTTGTTGATGGACGAGTTTGAAATGTGTAAATTGTTAAAACACTCGTCCAAAATTAAGAACTGGAATACACAGAGACATTCTCCTCTTGCTTTACAGGTCATTTGGCCGGCGTGAAAATATTGCCCATCGTCGCCGGCAATCGTCTAGTCGAGGCTCTGAAGCACGATTCTAGCCTCTGTCCATGACGCTGTTATGTCATTCTATCTGACATTGCAATCATCTTGCGTGGATCGAATTGGATTCATGTTTGCTTTGTTAGCTTCCAAAAACAACAACAAAGTGGATTGTTGCTAAAGTCTAGCGAACAGCTGTTCTAAGTGTGTTTTGGGACGGTCCGTCCAAGTGATTGACAATGAAACACACCTCCTTGCCCATAGAAAGGTAGAAACTGAAACCCCCAACGCACTAGTATCTAACTTTTGGACTACTTTACGAGTTAAAAGTGAAAAGGAAACGCTAGAGCCTTCTGCTAACATTTGACAATTGACATATGCTACGATTAGATCCAAACAAGAAACAAGAAGCCAGGCGAAGTTACAGCGACGGATGAACTAAGTAGTACTATTGGTAGTCAAACCCAGAGGAGAGCTAAGCTAACTTAAGCTTCTCAACAGCATATACTCCTAGCTAAATTCAGACAGAGGGGGAGGACATTGGAGTTGCAAGCAGCTAATGGCTATATTCACATAAACCAACCTTGACAGCACCATCCATAAGAATCAGCTCACTTTCCCCTCGCCTTCTCCAGATCAGGAAGGTCTACAAAAAAAAAAAAAAACAAGTTTCAGATTCATCAATCGTGGTGTGCGTTCAGAGCCAAGAGTTTTGCCCACCAAGTAACCATACAGAGTGTTGTCATGATCGTGTGCTGAAAAAGTGGAAAACGCACTATCTACAGTGATTCAGGAAAAGTATCTGACTTTTTTTCCAACTTACAAAGCATTCCTTCGTCGTCATTGCTTTCAGCATCCTCATCATCCTGCAAAAGAAAGGGGACCCGATATCATGCGGCTACTCATTACGAAACTTGAACAAGTGATTGGTTTTGTCAAACAACATTAGATTACCGCAACAGTGTCATCTTCGTCCGAAAATTCGTCAACTGCAAAATGAAGCATAGAAAAACTGTTAGAACTAGCCCCCTGAATAACGAACGCATTCAACATCGGACAAATATGGCTGCGAGAGCAACCATCTTATTAGCCTCATTAATCTACTAGTGATGATACCGATTCGTGTTAAGATTCTGAGAATCCGCTCGAAAGAAATGCTCATGCCCAAGACATTTTCCAGTATGTCTCGAACCAAAATGCCTAGCTGACCAATTAACCGTTCAAAGTATTCAACATATTATGAGCAAACACCCACTAAGTTTAAGGACAGTGGACCAAAGCTAACGAATGGGATCAGGGTCTAGCTGCCTTGTTCTGATCATGGATCAAGAAACCAGAATGGGACAACACTGAGAAAGAGCTAGCAAGCTAGCCAAAAGAAAAAGTAAAGCAGCCATTGATGAATGACTTACGAGTTGATTCCTCGTCATCTTCATCCACCCACTTGTTCCAATCAACTTTAATGTAAGGTGCCGGCTTCTCTTCCGACTTCAACAGTCTTTTCCACCACCCTTTCTCCTCTTTCTGAATCGAGCAGATTGTGTTCCTTAACCCCACATTAGTTTTGCATTTCTGCAACCACCCCCATCGATCAAACCGTTAACATGCTTGCATGGAAATCAACACATCGCATTATAATTACCCTATTCAAATTCAGCACAAAAAGGCGCATGATTCAACAAGCTTTATCCCTGCAAATATCGGCTTATATTAAGGCATGAACACACTCTACGAGCTCTGATTTTTCTCTTCCGGAGCAAAATTCCATACAATAGACGACGAAATTCCATACGAAAACAAACAGTAAGAGCCCGGACGAGAGAAACAATAAGAGCAGAGATTCACTAATTACTGCTACAGAAAAGAAAAGCGGAGGCAAAGAAGCGGGAAATTTCTAACCTCGGGGAGAATGGGAGCGAAGAGCTGGAGATTGAGCTCGAAGTTTTCACCCTGTTTCCCGCGAGCGGAGAAGCTGAACAAACCCTTGGGTTCGCATTTCACCGATATGTCCTTAGCGTCCGGCAAGGCTACCGTCAAGTACACTTTATCGGAGCGCTGCGCCCACAGAACTTCCGGATTCCGGCTGCTGCGGGTATTTTTTGTTCCGCGATCAACAGTCAGAACAGTGTGACAAAACCAATCCAACAGACGAAACGAAGGCTTGAAGTGAAGCTCTCAGTACAATAAGAAGGAAGAGAGTACGATTGCGATGCAGTTACCTCATTGCTGAATTGTGATCGGTGGCCGGAGAAGCGGCGGCGGCGGCCATCGGCGGAAGAAAACGGTTGCAGATGATGGGGAAAAAGCGTCGGGGAGGACGGACGAGTTTCGTTTCGCCAATCAGTGAGGGAGGAGAGAGCCGTACGGAAGCACGGGGTCTTTATTTTGAAACGGAGGAGCAAAGTGGGGCAAAAGGGTAATTTTGTCTGGTTGGGGAAAACGAAACGAGAACAAAAGAGTCCACTGAAATCGGGTGACCTATTTGACATTTCCTCAAACTTCACGGCTTCCAGCGCATTGAAGTCAATTACGATATATTTGAGATTGTTTTTTTTTTTGTTAAAGGGATGACGCAAGCGTCTAACTTATTAAAGAAATTATCGAGTGGTCATGAGCAGTGCCCATGACATCGTACAGAAGCCATCTGCTCAAGTCTGGGTCGCACACATTGAATCGATGTGTGCCAAAATCAACAAGATGATCCCTATTCGCAAGGAAATCAGCCGCAAAATTTGCTTCCCTATACACGTGACTAATTCGAACCTCCCAGTCTCTATTAAGGAGAGTCTGGATCTGTTTTGCGAGGATACCATGTCGATGGTCATCATCCAAGCACTTCAAAGCAATGTCAATGGCTGCAGTAGAATCCATATTAAGTTGGATTTTCTTGTAACCCCTTTCCCACGCAATCCGAAGTCCCTCAATCGCACCCTTCAGTTCATCACTTGTAATGGAGCGGCAGCCAAAATTGGTGGTGAAGTCATCAGTGCAACGCCCCAAGCAGTCTCTCAGCAGTCCCCCCGTAGCAGCTTTCCCAGAGGGGGAGATCACCGATCCATCAGTCTGAAGTTGCATCCAACCTTCATCAGGCGGTTGCCAAGACACTGGCTCATTCTGGTAGGTTCTCTTCAAGTTCCAGCAGTCAATATCAGATCTTTCCCGAGCCTGTTGGATGATGTTGAGCCAGGCCTCCACTCTGCATCGAAGGCTAGTCTCATTGTAGTTCTTGCCATCCAGGATTTCCTCATTGCGCTGCTTCCAAAGACTCCAGCAGATCACACCAAAATCAACCCCTTTGTCTTCGTGCAGAAGATTAGATAAGAGCCACTCCTGGAAGTTGCAACTGCTGTCAATCCTTGACAGCTTGTTTCGAAATTTTTCTCATATCCTTTTTGCCTTGTCACAGGTTCTCAGGATGTGTTCAATTGATTCCTCACAATCAGTACAGTGATTGCAGTTGCTGTTAGTGGAGATGTTTCGCCTTGCTCGTTCCTTGTTGGTGACGAGCCTGCCGTGGAGGACAAGCCATAGGAAATGCTTGATTCTGTTAGGTCCTTTCCACCTCCAAAGAGCTTTCCAGGATCCTCCATCTTCATTCTCCATGTTGGCAGCAAGGAAGTAGGTAGACTTAAGTCGAAACCTCTCATCCCGCTCAAGTCCCCAAATCATTTTGTCCTCTCCCAACTCAGTGTTTGGTCTCTCCATTCCTGCAACAAGTAAAAGTTTGTCCTCAGGGAGGAGTTCTTTCAATTCATCCCATTTCCACTCACCTTCTTATCTAACCCAATACGCCACAGGGGTCTGTTTCTCCTCATTAGTGATTTCCTTGAGCAGGTAATCCTCCAGAACCAGTCCATTCTCGATCCAAGGATGCTGCCAGAAGCTTGTGGATTCACCATTCCTAATGCTCCAACAGGAGGCTTCCTTCATAAGGGGCATGGCTTTCACCACAGCTCTCCAAAGACAAGAATGATTGGTTTTCTTCATGGAAACGATGCTTCCATTCCTCTGCTTGTAATACTTGCCCTGCAAGACCTGGACCCAAAGATCAATTTCGTTGTTAAGCATTTACCAGGCTAATTTGATCATAAATGCTTTGTTCAAACAACGAGCTGATCTAAGACCAAGACCCCTCCCCCCGTCCCCCCCACCCCCCCCCCCCCCCCCCCCCCCCCCCCCCCCCCCCCCCCCCGCGTCCGTTTCTTGGGAAGACAGATCTGTTCCCAAGACACCAGGTGAGGTTTCCTTTTGCCATCCATAGAACCCCAAACAAAACCCCTAATCCTCCTTTCAATCTCATCACAAACAGAAGCAGGAATGGGGGTCGTTTGCATAGCATAGGTTGGGATTGCATTTAACACAGATTGGGCTAGGGTAACTCTTCCATCAAGTGAAAGAGTTCTAGCTTTCCAAGCAGTAAGTTTCTGATCCATTTTGTCCAGGATATATCTGTAGGTGCCTTTGGTGAGTTTACCATGGAGCACAGGGACTCCAAGATACCTCCCAATGTCATTGGTTTCTTGGATTCCAAGGCGATTACAGATGTTCCTTCTATCCATTTGTTTAAAATTTTTAGAGAAGAAAGTCCTAGACTTGTCTTTACTAACCAATTCACCCGAAGCAGCACAGAATGAATCAAGACATTTCATAATGGAATTAGCATTAGAAAGACAAGCCTGGGAAAACAACACTATGCCATCCGCAAAGAAAAGATGTGAAAGAGCAGGACCACCAGGAGAAAGACACACAGGTTTCCAATTTCCATCTTTCACTTCTTGCAAAATATAGTGACTTAGACGTTCAATGCAAAGAGTAAAAAGATAGGGTGAGAGTGGACATCCCTGTCTTAGTCCTCTTGTGGGGGTGAAGCTGTCAGTTTGTCCACCATTCCACAGAACTTGAAATGAAGTGGTTGTCACACAGGCCATGATCAGTCTGATGCAGCTACTGGGGAAATGAGCAGCCATGAGTGTTTCCTCAAGAAACGTCCAGTCAATTCTGTCATAGGCCTTTGCAAGGTCGATCTTGAGAAGCATAATCCCTTTCTTTCCAGTCTTCCTTGACATAGAGTGGACAGTTTCCTGCAAAATAATGATATTGTCAGTGATATGGTGTTTTGGGACAAAACTAGATTGATTAGGATGCACCAGATGTGGCATAAGATGTTTCAGATTATTAACAATGCATTTTTCAACCACTTTGTATCCCACATTGCATAGGCTGATCGATCTGAAGTGGTTCCATGGTAGAGGAAGAATCCACTTTAGGGATAAGAGCCAGCAATGTTTCATTAATGGACTGGATGGTACTGGGAATGGCAAAGCATTTCAGAATGAAGGAAGCAAAGTCCATTCCAACAGTATTCCATCATTTCTGAAAGAATAAAGCATGGAACCCATCTTTCCATGGGCTTTAAGACCATTCATCTCCATCAGAACAACTCTAATTTCAACAATGCTTGGGGTTTTTCCAATCCTTGAGGGCCAAGATTCATCCACATGAGGAAAAAGAGCAGGTAATTGGATTCCAGAACAGGGAGCATCATTTGTAAACAGCTTTACAAAGTGCCCTCTATCCATGTCTTGGAGTGTGACTGGGTCATCAATCCAGTTACCATCTCCATCCTGCAATCTGGTGATTTTATTCCTCTTTCTTCTGCTCAGTGTGCAGTTTTGGAAATAGCGTGTATTGAGGTCTCCTTTCACTGTCCAATTGACCCTGCCCTTCTGCCTCCAAAGCAGCACTTCTTGCCACAGGGTGTCCTCAAGTTCTTCTCTAGTAACCTTCTCTTTCTCCATAGAGCTTATCGTAGGTTTCTTCTCATTGGACATTTCAAGGGATTTCAAAGTTCTGAATAACTCTTTCTTTCTGTTGAAGATGTTTCCAAAAACCTCCTTGTTCCATTTGGCCAGTTTCTCAGAGAGTTCCTTCATAGTAGAAAGGAACTCCCCTCCTGGCTTCCATTCCTGCTTCACAAAAGGCTAAAATTCTTGGTAATCCAACCAGGTAGCAAGGAAGTGGAATCTTCTTTCCATTCTTCTTGACTCAGGCTGCTGAGCAGTGTCAGTTAGGATAGGCCTGTGGTCAGACTTAAGCTTGGGGAGATGGAACACAGAAGTGGCAGGAAATTTTTGTTGCCATTCCAGGTTACACAAGCTCATGTCCAGTCTTTCCCTAAGTCCAGTTGATCTAGTAAACCATGTGAACATTGGTCCAGTGAATCCCATATCAATAAATCCACATTCATCGATGCAATCCTTGAAGGCTTTAGCCTTAGCAGCATTGAATGGTGCCCCACCTTGCTTCTCTGAGGACTTGGTGATGGAGTTTAAGTCTCCAGTAGTGAGCATCCAAGGTAAATTCGTGCAACAATCAATGTTCTTCGGACATTGCCACAGTTCCCTCCTATCATGCTCATTGGGGCAAGCATAAACAGTAGTGAAGAAGAAGGCATTTAAAATGGAGGAATTGCTATGGTTATCCACAAGCTCAAGGTTGAGGTTACTTCTGTTCCAAAGCACCCAGATTCCTCCACTAAAGCCCACAGCATCAGAAACTTTCCAGGTATCAAAACCAATAGATTAGATTACCCTTTCTACATCTCTGCCACTGATTCGTGGTTCAAGAATGCAAACAACATCCGGTTTGAAGCTAGCCTTGTAATGTTCCAAGGTTGACAAGAACTTGGGGTGCAAGGCACCCCTGCAATTCCAGGAAAGAAACTTAACCATTAAGAAAATGGGGGGTCTTTCCTGCAGCAACCCGAAGGGTCAGAAGTCTCGTTAGTCGATGGCAAGCGTAGTCCTTTGAACCTCAGGGATCCTGCCAGACACAGACTCCTTCAGTTCATTGGCATCCTCTGTCCTGTTAGCTTCCTCCTTACCCAGTGGACTGAAGTCGATCTTCCTAGGAACTGTTTCCCCAGTGAGATGATTCTTCACTCCTCCCTTGATGGATTGCATGTCCTTCTTCCCATCCACTCCTTGCTTCATTTTTGGCTGGTGTCCGGACTTTGCTTCAGCATCAACACCTTTTCCCATTCCAACTTTTCCTGAAGTAGATGTGGAGACAGGAAGGCCTTGCTTATGTGTCCCAGCAGGGGGGCAACACTGTGAGAGGGGGTTCCCTTTTCAGCTTTAGTACCTTGGATCTTATTGGTCTTGGTGGGACTTGGCTCCTTATCCTTACTTTGCTTAGGGAGAACAGGGGAAGCCTTTTGGTTCTCCTTGCGTGACATGCCCTTTGTATTGGGTTTCATTCCTTTGCTAG